CTTGTGAGAAGATAAGGCCAAAAGCTCTGTTGTTGCTTCACCACCCAACATCTAAAATCTGCACAGTTCCCAATTTCTAGAGCAAAACTTCCATCTCCAGGAGTCTTTTTGTCTGTGGAAAGGATGAGGAGCCTGAGTAGAGCATCCCAGGGTGAGGAAGAAGCTCCTGATCCTGACAGGCAGCAGGAGGAGCGGGGCTGTCAATCCCTTCCCAATAATTCCTAACTGAGGCTCTCTCCCTGCTCGTTGGAGATGTGGTGACAAAACATTTGAAGTGCCTTGACAGGGACGCCAAGAGCTGCTGTCACACAGCTCCGGTTTTAATCAGCAGTGAAATTAGGGATTTTCATCACCTTAAACTGCATTTTGCAGCCGTGTGAGGCTTCGCAAAGGGCTGCGCTGCAGTGGGAGCCCACGGAGAGCTGAGCTCCGGGGATGGCAGCAGCTCGGGGAGGATGGAAAAGGGGGGGATTCACCCCCGGATTTGGGGCCAAGCTGCCGCAATGTCACCCTCTGTCCCTGTGCCACAAAGGCTGGAACGGGGACACAGCGAGAGGCTGGAGCGTGGGAGGTGGCAGGAGTTTGGCCTCACAAAGGGATGGAAGATGGAACAGAGGGAGAGAGGTGTGAGCACAGCGGGAGCGGCCTTGGGGAGGTGTCGGAGCGGGAGGAAACAGCACAGGAGAACTGGGATGGAGAGGGGAGCTGGGAGCAGCCAGGGGATGAACACAGGGGTGGTTTGGGAGTGAAAACAGGGAATGAAAATAGGGATGGTTTGGGAATGAAACCAGGAATGGTTTGGGAATGGCTAGGGATGAACACAGGGGTGGTTTGGGAGCAGCCAGGGGATGAACAGAGATGGTTTGGGAATGAAAATAGGGAATGAAAATAGGGATGGTTTGGGAATGACCAGGGAATAAAAATAGGGATGGTTTGGGAGCAGCCAGGGGATGAAACCAGGAATGGTTTGGGAATGAAACCAGGGATGGTTTCAGAATGGCTGGGGATGAACACAGGGATGGTTTGGGAGCAGCTGGGGGACAAAACCAGGGATGGTTTGGGAGCAGCTGGGGGATGAACACAGAGGTGGCTTGGGAGCAGCCAGGAGATGAAACCAGAGGTGGTTTGGGAATGGCTGGGGGACAAAAGCAGGGGTGGTTTGGGGGTGAAAACAGGGATAGTTTGGGAGCAGCTGGGGGACAAAAACAGGGATGGTTTGGGAATGGCTGGGGATGAACACAGGGATGGTTTGGGAATGAAACCAGGGATGGTTTGGGAATGGTCAGGGAATGAAAATAGGATGGTTTGGGAGCAGCCAGGGGACGAAAGCAGGGATGGTTTGGGAATGGCTGGGGAACAAAAACAGGGATGGTTTGGGAATGGCTAGGGATGAACACAGGGATGGCTTGGGAATGGCCTGGGAATGAAAATAGGGATGGTTTGGGAGCAGCCAGGGGATGAAAGCAGGGATGGTTTGGGAGTGAAAACAGGGATAGTTTGGGAATGGCTGGGGGATGAAACAAGGGATGGTTTGGGAATGGCCAGAGAATGAAAATAGGGATGGTTTGGGAGCAGCCAGGGGATGAAAGCAGGGATGGTTTGGAAATGGCAGGGGATGAACACAGGGATGGTTTGGGAGCAGCCAGAGGATGAAACCAGGGATGACTTGGGAATGAAACAAGGGATGGTTTGGGAATGGCTGGGGGAGAAAGCAGGGATAGTTTGGGAGCAGCCAGGAGATGAAACCAGGGATGGTTTGGGAATGGCTGGGGGAGGAAAGCAGGGACAGTTTTGGAATGGCCACGGAATGAAAATAGGGACAGTTTGGGAGCAGCCAGGGGATGAAGCCAGCGATGGTTTGGGAACGGCTGGGGATGAAAACAGGGATGGTTTGGAAATGGCAAAGGGTGATGAGGCAGGAATGGAGGGGATCAGCCAGCGATGGTTTAGGAACAGCCAGGGGATGAAAACAGGGATAATTTGGGAATGGCCGGGGGTCAGGCAGGGATGGTTTGGGAACAGCCAGGAGATCAGGCAGGGATGGTTTGGGAGCAGCCAGGGCTGGTTTGGGCAGGTGCTCCCTCATCCTGTGCTAGAAGAACACCCCCAGGCTCCCGTGCCTGACAGCAAAGCCCATCCCGTGCTCCCGGAGCATCCGCAGCCTCCCACCCCCAGCTCACAATGGAAACAAGCAGCGCAGCCTGGGATGTTCCCTGGGCACCCAGGGATGGGGTTCAGCCTCGGGAGCCCCTTTCCCGTGGGTCCCAGACCCCTGAGGGTGGGCACTGCCCACCACAGAGCCCATCAGACCCCTGAAGGTGGGCACTGCCCACCACAGAGCTCATCAAACCCTCGAGAGTGGGCACTGCCCATCACAGAACCCCATCAAACCCCTGAGGGTGGGCACTGACCATCACAGAGCCCCTCAGACCCCCGGGAATGGGCACTGCCCACCACAGAGCCCCTCACGGCCACCACCTCCCCATGGGGCCACCCTCAATGCCACCTCCCACACAGTGGCCCTGGGGACCATTTCGGGGCACAGAGGGGACCCTGTGGCCAGCCAGGCCTGAGCCCTTCGGGGTGCCAGGGTGATGCCCACGGGCTGTCCCCACTTGTTGTGCCCCTGGTTGTGGCACCGGGGAGCAGCACAGGAGCTCTGCCCATCCCAGGGCATGGTCTCACTCCTCCTCACCCCTTCCCGAACAATTTTCCCTCCAGAACCCACCCCAGCACCTGCCCCAAACCCCACGGAAGGCAGAGGAAGCTCTGGATGGAGGAAGAGACAAATCCACGCACAAATCCCAGCCTGGAGCAGCCGGGAAGCCCCGGGACGAGCTGAGCCCGCTGCGATGCCCCGGGGCAAACCCTCCCCGCTTCTCCCGGTCCCCATCCCGGTTTTCCCGGCGCTGGCACCGCCGTGCACGGGACGGGCTTGACGTCAACGGGGCTTTCAGCGGGATGATGGATGGCACGGGAAGGCGCTCCCGGTGCCGAGCCGCCGGCCGGGAAGCGCTGCCCGCCCCGCACCGGGAAAGGCTCCGGGGAACCGGCCCGGGGAGCCCTCGGGAACGGGGGGAAAGCGCGGCCGCAGCGATGATTTTGGGGGGTTCGCATCGCGGCTCATGATTTAGGGGTGCCGTGGGGTACGGGGGGATCCCGGTGTTGTCCCCACGCGGATCAAAACCCCTCGTTTCCTTCCCTCCATCCCTCCTCCCGGAGCGCGCATCCCGCTGCTCGCCGGTACCGGGCATCCCCAAATTCCCTATCCCCAAATCAAATTCCCCATCCCCAAATGAATTGCCCGTCCCCAAATTCCCCATCCCCAAATGAATTCCCCGTCCCCGGGGATGCTCCGGGGCAGGTGCGGCCCCGCTCGGCCCGGTGCCCGCGGGGCTGTGGCCGCTGCCCCGGAGCTCCGCACCCCGCGGGCACTCACCCACCGCTGCCGCCGCCGCCGCCGCCGCCGCCCGTGCCCGCTCCTCCCCCGGCCCCGGCGGGCTGCTGGGAGCGGCGGGCGGGGGAGCCCCGGGCCCGGCCCCGACGGTCCGGGCGGAGCGGGGAGGAACCGGCGGCTCCCCGGGGGAACCGGCGGCCGGAGCCCGAACGGCAGCGGCAGCAGCGTGCAGCCGTCAGGTGGGTCCTAAGGGGTGGTGGAAGGAGCGGTGGGTGCCCAGGAGCTTCCAGATGGACGCTACAGCCTTCAAGGGGATCGTACAGGCGGGAGCTGGAGCCCAAAAATCTCCAGCTGGACCCAAAAATCTCCAGTTGGACCCTACAGTCTTCAGCTGGAGTCTGGACTCAATAACCAGAGCTTGGGAGCCACCAGAGGGATCCTAAACCCAGCACTGGAACCCCAGGAGGCACCAGCTGGACCCTAAACCCAGCGATTCAACCCCAAGGGGTACCAGATGGACCCTACACCCAGCAACTGAACCCCAAGAGGCACCAGATGGACCCTGCACTGAGCAATTGAACCCCAAGGGGTACCAGATGAAGCTTGCACCCTTCAATGAGACCCTACACCCATCAATGGGACCCCAAGAGCCACCACCTGGATCCTACACCCAGCAATTGAACCCCAAGGGGTACCAAATGGAGCCTGCACCCTTCAATGAGACCCTACAGCCATCAGCTGAACCCCAAGAGCCTCCAGCTGCACCCTATACCCATCAATGGGACCCTACACCCATTAACCAAACCCCAAGAGCCTCCAGTTGGACCCTACACCCATCAGCTGGACCCCAAGACCCCCAGCCAGACCCTACACCCATCAGCTGGACCCCAAGGGCCCCCAGCCAGACCCTACACCCATTAATTGGACCCCAAGGGCCCCCAGCCAGACCCTACACCCATTAATTGGACCCCAAGACCCCCAGCCAGACCCTACACCCATTAATTGGACCCCAAGAGCCCCCAGCCAGACCCTACACCCATTAATTGGACCCCAAGAGCCCCAGCCAAACCCTACACCCATCAATGGGACCCCAAGACCCCCAGCCAGACCCTACACCCATCAAAGGGACCCCAAGAGCCCCAGCCAGACCCTACACCCATTAATTGGACCCCAAGAGCCTCCAGTTGGACCTTACACCAAACAATTGAACCCTACACCCATCAAACCAACCCCAAAGCCCCCAGCCAGACCCCAGACCCCCCCAGATGGAGCTCAAACCCCTCCAGCTGGACCCTCCAGCCACCAGTTGGACTCTGGAGCTGCCACCTGTCCCTTCTGTCCCAGCTGGACCCCAAGAGCAACACCAACACCCCCCTGCTGTCCCCTGGACCCCAAGAGTCACCAGCCAGACCCCTGGGACCTCAGAGCTGGAGCCTCCAGCTGATCCTGCTCAGCTGGGCTTTGGGAATGCCACTGGGGCAGCCATGGGGACACCATGGGGACACCGTGGGGACACTGTGGGGACACTGGGCTGCCCTGGATGCTGTCGAGGGAGGAGGTTTGGGCGCAGAGGTGGCGGTTCCAGCGCTGCCCTTGGACTCACCTTGGCTGCCGGGATCCAAACACCGATTTCCCTCTAGGCAGCGTCCCCTGCTCCCGGTGAATTCCTGCGGGGTGAATTCCTGCTCTCCCTGCGTTGCCTCTGCCGGCTGACATGGAGCCACGTGCCAGGAGCAAAGCTTCCTTCACCGCCTTTAACTCTGTCCCTCCCTAAAATCCTACAATTCCCAGCTCCCCATCCCATGGGCAGCACCTCGGGCTGCACGGGGCATTCCCAATGCTGGGATTAGGGCCTGGCTGGGCAGAGATTTGGGATTGGGGTGGCTCAGTGAGTGCAAGCATCCATCAGTGCAGGGAGGATTGGGATAATTCCCTCGTGTGCTGGAGGGATGCAGCAGGAAAGCTGCTTCAGGAACAGGAATAGCTGAAAGAACTAAATATGGAAACTTGGATAAAGCAGCGCTGAAGGAGGGAGATGGTTTCCTAACGGGATTCAAAGCATATAAACAAACTCAGGGAGGAGGGAGGTTGTCCAGAGGGGCCTTGGTGAGGAAGAGTTTGGAGAACCAGCTGGAATCCTCTCAGCAGGGAAGGCTATTCCGTGAAATTTCCAGCTTTGTGGAGGAAGTGCCACCCCTGGGAACACATTGTCGGGGGGGAAGAGATAATGGAAACAACAGCCCTAAAAGATTCTCTGTGGGATTTTTTTTTCCCAGCTGCTTTTTGATGATAGGAGTGGAGGTCTCCGTTCCATTGGAAGCTTTTTGCTCCCTTTGGTTTTTCTGGCATCACCAGCCTCACACTGGGAAGGCTTTGGCACTGCAGATTCCAGGCTGTGTGGCACCGATTTCCTGGGAATTTCTTCCCTGGATGGACAAACCCCAAAGCTCAGCTTTACCCTGAGATCCCATCAGAGCTCTCCCATCTCCAATGTCTCTTAATTCCTTAAGGAGCTCGGCTTTGCCGGCTCCTCATCACCTCCTGCTTTCCCTTTTGGGTTTGTGCCGGCGCCACGGGGCGGCTTAACGCGATTATCCCGCTACAACGGCCCTAAGAGGATTCCAGCCTCGGCTCAGGGTGGGGACAGGGATGATCCTGCTGCATGGAGGTGGGGGAGCCTGCGAGGGTGACCCCGGGATCTGCAGCCCCCGTGGGTGCCACGAGCTGCCATTCCTTGGGACAGGGTGGGAAATGCTCATGGATGGATCCTGGAGAGAGGGGAGATGGAGACACAGGGAAAGGGTGGGAATGTCGGGGCTCTGGGGAGTCCTGGGGCTTCCCAGGAGGTTTTGGGACTTCTCAGGGAGGTCCTGAAGCTTTCCAGAGGGCTGAGGCTTCCCAGGAGGGTCCTGAAGCTGCCGAGGAGGGTACTGGAACTTTCCAGAGGACTCAGATTTTCCAAAAGAATCCTGGGGCTGCTCTGGGAAGTCTTGGGGCTTCCCAGGAGGTTTTGGGACTTCTCAGGGAGGTCCTGAAGCTTTCCAGAGGACTGAGGCTTCCCAGGAGGCTCCTGGAGCTACTCTGGGGGTTCTGGATCTTCCCTAGGATGTCCTGACAGCTTCCCTAGGATGTCCCTACCCAGGGAGGTGAGGGGGTTCTCAGGAGGGTTTTGGGACTTCTCAGGGAGGTTCTGAAGCTTTCCAGAGGGCTGAGGCTTCCCAGGAGGCTCCTGGAGCTGCTCTGGAGCATCCTGGAGCTTCCCAGGAATGTCCTGAAGCTGCCCAGGGAGGTCCTGAGGCCTCCCAGGAGAGTCCTGGAGTTGCCCAGGAAGGTGTTGGTGCTTTCCAGGTTTAGGACATCCCAGGGAGGTCCTGAAGCTTTCCAGAGGGCTGAGGCTGCCCAGGAGGGTCCTGGAGCTGCTCTGGAGCATCCTGGAGCTTCCCAGGGATATCCTTGGGCTGCCCAGGAGGGTCCTGGAGCTTTCCAGAGGATTCAGATTTCCCAAAAGGATCCTGGGGCTGCCCAGGGAATTCTGGAGCTGCCCAGAAGGGTCCTGGAGCTGCTCTGGAGAGTCTTGGAGCTGTCCTGGGGTATCCTGGGTCTTCCCAGGAGGGTCCTGGAGCTTTCCAGAGGACTCAGATTTCCCAAAAGGATCCTGGATCTCTCCTGGGGCATCCTGGGGTTTGCCAGGAGAGTGCTGGGGATTCCCAAGACTGTCCTGGAGCTTTCCAGAAAACTGAGCCTTCCCAGAAAGGTTCTGGAGCTCTTCTGGGGCATCCTGGGGCTCCCCAGGAGATTTTGGGACTTCCCAGGATGTTCCTGGAGTTTTCCAGAAAACCGAGATTTCCCAGAAGGGTTCTGGAGCTGTTCTGGGGCTCCCCGGGAGATTTTGGGGCTTCCCAGGAGGTTCCTGGAGCTCTCCAGAGGACTGAGATTTCCCAAAAGGATCCTGGAGCTGCTCTGGAGGCTCTGAGGATGCTTTGAAGGTCCTGCAGCTGCATTTAGAGAAGGAGGAGCTGCACCTGGAGAAGGGTTATGGAAAGGGGGTGGTTTAGGGCAGGATTTGGAATCCCAAGGGGGAATAACCCTGCCCTGGGATGGTGCCAGTCCCTGCCCTGGCTGTGGGATGAGCCCTGGCCCCTCTGGAAGTGCCCAGTGGGATGAGTTCTGCAGCTGGGTCAGCTCCTTCCCTGCTGCAGGCCGTGTCCCACTTCTGGCAGGAGCAGGAGCTGTGTGGAGACCTGGAAAATCTCCTGGCAGGAGCAATCAGGTCACCAGTGCTCACCAGTTGGATACTGGGACAGCCAGGGGGTTGAACTGGGTGCTCTCCTGGGAAATCCTGTCCCCAGCAAAGGGGGAATATTGGGAATGAGGCCTCCCAGTCAGCACCAGGATGAGTATCTCAGCTCCCAGTGCTGATCCCAAAGTTTTGGGGGATTTTCCTGATTCCTGTTGGCTCTTCCTTAGGAAATGAGGGCTGGGAGAATGAGGGAGAGCAGGATTCCTTTGGGAATTTCCATCTGGAGCAATAAAGGTAAAATTTCCCAGGACACAGATTCAAACCTGAGCACAAAAGGGATCTGGACCCTGGATCATCCCTCAGGAATTTTGGGCTCCCAAGGGATCCTCTGGCAACACCCATAGCTCAAATTATCTTCCCAGGGGTTTCATTTCAAAGCAGAAGGGTTAAAAAATCAGAGTCCAGGCACAAATATATTCCTAAATATCCTTAAATATCCTTAAATATTATATGGATCATCCCAGCTAGGACAGACACCAGGTGGGAGGTGACACAAAGGACCAGGCCCCAAAACCTGGCCCTAAATGTCCCCTTTTTTCCTGCAGATCCATAAAGCAGCGTGCCCATGCCCAGGAAGAATTTCTCTCCCGGTTTTCCCGTGCCTGTGGATTTGTGCTTGTTTGGGATAAATCCAGAGTGCTGCTGGAACGGGAATCCCGGGGGATGGCGGGGGCTGAGCTGGGAAGGGCCAGCCCGGTCCTTGCTGCTCTCAGCTGATTTTCCTCCATCCCAAACAAACCCCACAGCTCCCAAATCCACTCTGGGGTGCAGTGGGAAGTGTTGGAGGGATGGGATGAGCAGGTGGAAGGTGCTGGATGGGTCCAAACTCATCAAAGCGCCAGCAAATTCCTGCAAAATCACTTTCTCCTTTATTTTTTCCCCTCCTTGTTTCTTGTTTTCCTTGGCTGCTGCACGTTCCGGGCAGGCTGACAGGGAGCTCTGTGGAGCTGCAATCCCTGCGGGAAAAGCAGAGCAGCTCCAGACAATGGATCCATTGCTGCTGGGAAAGGGAGCAGGTGGGGAGGAAACGGAGCCGCACAAAGAGGAGGAGGAGGAGGAAGAGGAGGAGAAGGAGGAGCAAGGGGGGATTGTCCAGAAATCCCTGGAGAGGGGCTGGATGCGAGCTGGGTGCTCTGACAGCTGGGCCTGGCAGCAGCAGCAGGGCTGGGTAATTAATTAATAAATGAGGCTTTTCCCAGGGAATTGTGGGGATGGATCAGAAGGAAATGGCTCAGAAATTCGGGAATTCAAAAACAAAACAACCCCAAAGTGGAGCAGATTTAAGGATTTTCATGAAAGCTGCCCCATCCTGGGAAAGGTTCAATTCCAGGCTGGAGCAAGCTGGGATAGTGGGAAGGAGGTGGGATTGGATGATCCTGAATGTCCTTCCAACCCAAACCACTCCATGATCCCGACTTTTATTTCTCTTGGCTGCCTTGCAAGTGCCCTCAGGCTCAAGAGCTCCAATAAAACTGCAGGAATTTCGCTGTGAGACATTTCCCACTCCAGTGCCAGCACAGAGCTCCCAGCCCACAGAGGACACAGAAATTTGTCCCATTTCCTCCATTTCTTCCCCAAAACCCACAAATCCCAAATCCCTGTGCTTGCAGGGAATGGGATTTTGTCCTTTAGCAGGGCAGACCCAGCCAGCAATTTTGGGAAGGGTGACTGGAAGTGCAGCAGCCCCGTGGGATCTGACTTTCCTTTCTCATCCCAACCAATATTTCAAAGGGATTTTATTTTTATAACCTGAACAATGATATTAAAAACGCTATTTAAAAAAAGAAACTTGGCCAGGCTGCAAATTGGGCCACCAGAAGGACAATGAGGAGGCAAAAAAGATGGAGTCACTCCTAAAGAAAAGTGGATTTTTTTAATGGGGAAAATCCTGAGGCAAGCATGAATCACCTCTGAGTGTATCCTGGAGCCAGGAAATCTGGGAATTGGGAGAGCTGGCAGGAGCAGGGCACAGACTTTGGCTTGAAGCAGCTCCAGGATGGCAGGAGAAAATCTGGATTCACTGGAATGTCCCTGGATGATCCCTGGCATTGCACTGCCAGGGATACCCTGGTGGAGTTGCTGCTAAATGGATGTGCAGAAATGCAAAAAAATTCTGTTGGAAATGCAAAAAAATTACTTTATTGGTCTATTAATTGGCATAATTAATCCATTAAAGCAGAATTCCAGAGACTACACACATATATATATATATATATATATATTCCATATATATATTCCATATATATGTATTCCATATATATATATATATATATATATATAGGAATAAATTCCTTGGGTTCCTCCCTGGAATTGTGAGGATCCACAGGATGAAACTGCCCCAGGGAAAGGGATCCTGCAGGATCTTTGGGATGGGATCCCTGCAGGAAAGGAGAAGGCAAATCCCAAATGAGGAGCTGGGAATGAGGCAGCAGCTGCAGCCCTCTGTGGCTTTGAGGAAAAGTTTAAAAGGAAAATATAAATCCCCTCATTTTCCTCATGAAAATATCAATCCCCTCACTAATTTTCCACATTATCCCATTGGATCTCATTCCAGAACTAAAGAATTTCAGGGGAACATCAAGGCAGCCTTTTCTTCCCCTCCCTTTGGTGCTGCTTTTGGGTTTTTTTCCTGATTATCAGATTCCTCGAGTCTCCACTTAGATAAAAAAAGCACCTCTAATTCCTTTATCTATTTAAGTCGATTTCGGGAATATTTTTCTCCCACAGTGTGAACAATCAGAACTCTGTGGTCTCCCAGATATGTAAACCAGTTCTTTTTCTTCTTTTGTGGGCAGATATACTTAAGCTACATAATGGGACTCTGAGAGTGAGTCAACTCAGGAACACTGGATATATTTAAATTCCATTTCAAACTAACTCCTATTAAAAAAAAAAAAAATCCCATAAAATGCCAAATCCTGGTGTCAAAAAAAGTTCATTGCAACTCACACACAGAAAGCATTTATATACAACATCTTTAACAAGTTTATTTACCACGCAATTTATTACGAGGATACTTGACAGAGAAGCAAAGAAGCTTGGAAAACATCGCAGCATTCCTGCTTTTTTTAAAATAAAGCAGGAAAAACACTAGAAGACGAAATATGAGGCTTAAAGCTGGACAGGTGGGGATTTAGGACAGGGCTGATCTTTGACAGAACAAGAGTTTGGCTGCCCCTCAAGGCACTGTCGCTCCTGAGATGCCTCCACGTTTGTCCCGGTCCCTCAGGGTTTGTCCTGGTCCCTTACGGTTTATCCCGGTCATTCACGGTTTGTCCTGGTCCCTCACGGTTTGTCCTGGTCCTTCACGGTCCCTCAGGTTTGCCCCGTCCCTCAGTTTGTCCCTGTTCCTATTCCGGTCCCTCAGGTTCGCCCCTGTCCCTCACGATCCCTCAGGTTTGTCGCTCTTCCTCACGGTTTGCCCCGGTCCCTCAGGTTTGTCCCTGTTCCTGTCCCGGTCCCTCAGGTCTGTCCCCCTCCCTCATGGTCCCTCAGATCTGTCCCTGTCTCTCACGGTCCCTCAGGTTTATCCCCGTCCCTCAGTTTGTCCCTGTTTCTGTCCCAGTCCCTCCCGGTTTGCCCCGGTCCCTCACGATCCCTC